CCTTTACAGTGTGCTGTTATTTCAATCTATTTTTGGTGAATATATTTAACACCCTGGCAGTGCCAACCAATACAAACAAACCAACAAAGCCAGTCTATGAGAGCCAGCAGGATGTAGAAAGCTTCTCAGATACTGCATCCTGTGCTCTGTTTGCCATTCTGTGTGTGGGACGGACATCTGGTTCTCCCCCTCTGGAAAATGCACAGCCACAGGCTCATATGAGCTGTCCCTCCTCTCTTCTTTCTTGCAGATTCTCCATGCTCTCAGCTTATTTACACAAGACAGTGACCATGTAAACTTAGACGGAGAGAAACTCAAGCTCCTTTAGGCAGTCTACTAACAGTGTGGCGAATAAATAGAAAATATGACTGTATAAACAGGATACAATACTGAGAAGAGCAAGTTTGGGGGTAATACAGGTAACCGGAATTAATTATATGAAGCAAAGGACAATCTGTAGGCAACTGCATCTGAGATGTGTCCCCAGACTACACTAAAATCATAATATTATTTTTGGATAATCTTCTAGCTACCCAAAAATACCACGTTTTCTTTAAAATATGACATTTTAAATAGGGAACTGCAGAGAATAATTCTTAAACCAGAAAAATATTTGAAATTTTATATTAGGAAGAAAAATACATTGATAGATCATGATGATCTGCACTAGGGATGATCAACTTGAAAGTGTAGCTCACCATGATCTATCAGTTTGAACATATCTCATTTGTTCCCACACTTCCCAGCTAGAGATCCCTGCTGCTTCCCTGACCTGTAACTGCTCATCTCCAATGATCATGGAGTTGAGAGGCAGCAGGGCATAGTGGAAGGAGTGCTGGCTTTTGAGTCAGACTTACCTGGATTCAAAGCTTACTTATATCAGCTGTGTAATCCCAGGTAAGTCATTTCATCTTTTTAAGTCTCTGTTTCCTCTCCTGTAATGATGTTACCAATATACCAATACCTAAAAAAGAGGACTATTACCAGGATATAAAATAATGTATATAAAAACAGGTAGAAAGAATCCAATGAATGCTACTCATATATTTGGCCTCGCAAAATGAAGGCAATGTAATAACACATCTGCTTTTATAGAAGCATATAAGTTTCCCTTTCCCTCCAGGAAGGAAAAGAAAGAAACTTTTTCTTCCGCTTCTAATTATTCCCTAACTCCCTGCATTTTCTTTTAGTAAACTATTCCAATTTTTGTGGCCAGTTATGTTTCAGTATTTAAATGTCTGTTTCCTTTGCCAATAATTAGGCAATACAAGTATATATAATTTTCACAGTTAAGTCAGTGTCCAAAACAACAACATAATTAAATCAAATTAACATATATTAAATTTTTATATTGAACCCCAGAGCTTTTTTATAAAGTAGCTTAAATCTCTGCTTTGTCTTTTCTGATTTGATAAATATATTTTAAGCATAAAAATTTCTGAAGATTAATACACCAAAACATTAAACTAAGAATACCAATGACAGATAGTACTATATTTCATAGTTCACCTGAAAGAATTGCAGTTTTAGTAATGAAAAGTAGCAGAAGTGGTACCGCTAGAGTCCTCTTTTTCTAAGGAAAGATGTTATGAAGACGAGAGATCAGTCTCTGGGCTGATTCTGACATGTACAGTAGGCTATTCTATCTGAGTTTGCAATTAATTCAGAATTAACAGATTCACGTTTACACTGGCAATTGGAAGGAAATCTTTGGGTTCCAATAGGATGCCACTGTTTGTATAATTTTCTTCATCCTTGACAAGTCAGGAGTTTTAAAATTTGTATTAGGTTTTCTGAACTGTCTGGTTAAAATCTAGAGAGTAAGCAGGACCCCAATGTCCTAAAAGAAATGATTATTTACTTTGGAAGAAAAATATCTTTCTTAGATTCTTAGAAATCTTAGATGCCTTTTGACTCTCCTTTTGACTCTATGGACATAGAATAAGTTTTTAAAATAATTGTTTCATTTTCATCTCAAATTTCTTCTCTCACCTAGCTAAATGCATAAGACCTAGCTTGCTCTAGTGATTTTTTTTTTTTTTTTTTTTTTTGAGACAGAGTCTCTCTCTGTCACCCAGGCTGGAGTGCCGTGGCACGATCTTGGCTCACTGCAACCTCCCCCTCCTGGGTTCAAGTGATTCCCCTGCCTCAGTCTCCCGAGTAGCTGAGACTACAGGCGCATGCCACCACACCAGGCTAATTTTTTGTATTTTCAGTAGAGACAGGGTTTCACCATGTTAGCCAGCATGGTCTCGATCTCCTGACCTCATGATCCGCCCTCCTCGGCCTCCCAAAGTGCTGGGATTACAGGTGGGAGCCACTGCGCCCGGCCGCTCTAGCGACTCTTTAGCAAAATTACAGCCTAGTAATTTTTTCTTTACTGTGTTGTGTCTGAGGAAAAAATATTTAAATTGATTGGTGTCTTTTCCAAGTCCTTGACGGTTCTTTACCACACCCAGGGCCAATAAAATATTGATGGAATGGTAAAACTGAAGACTATCTCATGATTCAGTAACTCAAAACTATAAAAAGCTTTTGCCAAGTAACACTATTTAGAAGGAAAACTCAATAGGTTATAGTGGGTAGATTGACATGCAAATATCCATCACATTTTATTAAACAAATTAAAAATAGATTTAGTCTTTAATATATGTCCCTACAGTATAAAATTTACTGGATTCAATTGTTGATTATGTGCTCAGCAGATTGGCTAATTACCTTTGGCAGATGCTTGATGCATATTAATTTGGGATCCCCCATCAATTGTAACTGTCTTTGGTTTGTAATCTAGCTTCTACTTCACATAGCTGAGTAACAATACGGGCGTTCACTTGAAATGTAACTGCAAACAATTCTGTAGGAGGCACAGGGTGATTTCCTGGGAAGAGCCCTGCACTATGGGGTGGGAGCTTGGCTTCTAATGTTCAGCAGCCACATAGGCTGGTTATTTACTTCACGTAATCCTACCAAACACATCTGCGGCATAGAAATACCATGTAAGTCAGGGAGCCATTATTAATTATTAACACAGGGGACCAGAAAGGGAAGTAGCTCCTTCAGCATATTTCAAGAGTAGGTCCTTACTAACAATTGTCTGAAAGTAAAATATTAACTTAATGGTTAAAAACACTTTAGGGAATCAAAAAGCATGATGATCCTAAGAGTCAGCAAGAATGTGGAACAACTGGAATTTTCATACATTGCTGGCAGGAACATAAAATGGTACAGCCACTTGGGCAATCAGTTTGGGAGATTCTAAGAAAGTTAAACATGCATTTACAGTATGATCCAGAAGTTCCACTCCTAGGTATTTGCATAAGAGAAACAAAAACACAAGTAGACACAAAGCCTTGTTCATAAATGTTTATAACACCTTTATTCATCATAACCCCAAACTGAAAACAACCCAAACACCCACCAACAGATAATTTCATAAACAATATACCACATTCATATATGATATGGAAGGGAATACTATTCAGCAATTAAAAAGAAACTGAGCTACCGAGGCATGCAACAAAATGAGTGAATCTCAAAAACAGTATGCCCAGCAAAAGGAGCCAGATGCAAAAAGAGTACATACCGTATGATTCCATTTCTGGACTCATGCCAAATGAATCCAGAGTGACAGAAAGCAGAGCAGTGGCAGTCTAGGGCAGGGAGTCGAGGGGAAATTGATGGCAAAGGAGAGGAAGGAACATTATGGAATGATGAGAAGGTTCTATATCTTGATTGTGGTGGTGGTTTCACACATGCACACATTTGACAAAACTCATCAAACTCTGTGTTTAAAATGAATTTATTTCATTATGTATAAATTATATCACAATAAAGTTTAATGAAAAAATGAACACACACACGCCGGGAAAGCAGTAACAAATGTGAAGTTGAAACACCCCAGGCTGGCTCTTAGGTGCTAACAAGGTGGTAGACCTTCTCAGATTGGTGCCTGTTTGGGGGACAGCTCTCCCACCAAAGTTCGGGTCCTGACCTAATTCTACTCACATGCTGATTCCCCTTACAAAAGCCTTTCTACACCTCTGTGAGAATGATGATGGATATGAAAATGCTTTACAAACCGAAAAGTGCTACATCCAATCAACAAAGGTGGCTAATGCTGAGACTCATTTTCTACCTGCTTGGGGTCCTGGACTGACCTTATGGAAGATTTCCAGGAGAAAAACAATGATGGAAAGACATCCCTCCTAAGTCTCCAAGTAGACCTAGAACCTGCAAGCATTTCCCTTTCCTCTCTCCTTTCTCTACTCAGCTGAGCTCCTCTCACCTCTCAGAGCAACAGTCCTTTGATAACCTGTAGAAGAATCATGAATAAATGAATAGAAAGACAGCCTTCCTTAACATACACACCATTTTAAAAATTTAATTAATTCTTCCTTGTGGAATCGTGACTAAGAGCACAGGTCCCAGGGTCAGACTTCATGTGTCCAGAGACCAGCTCCTCCACACTTGCTGGCTAAACCTATAAAATCCTTTAGCTTCTCTGTGTCTCAGCTTCCCTGTTTGTAAGAGAGGGGTGGAAATAGTACCCACACCACAGGCCGATAGGAAAATTAATGAATGTCCTTAGTACAGTGGCCAGCAAGAGTAAGAAAGTAACAACTGAGAGCTACAAATCCTACCAGATATTTTTGTCCTGACTCCCCATCTTCTCTCTGAATTTTCCTTAGGATATCAGAGAGCATTTTATCAACTCCACAGAAACGCATCCAGATTCTTGAGTCTGGAAGAAAAGTACGGAATTAATAATATATTTAGAGTTACTAATAAAATGCCTATCAAGCAAGTGGCAAAATGTTCTCTACCAAAAAAAAAAAAAAAAAAAAAAAATGCCTGCCTGCTGTGTAGGGTGTGCACTCTTCCTGAAAAGTATATATTCTTAGAAATAAAATGATTCACCCCCAGATGAAACTCCTGTTCCCTGGCATTTTCCCCCTAATTTTTCATTCATTTGTGTATTTTTTTTACATCCCCTCATGTAGCTCCACCAACCCTCCCAGACGTCAGTGGGTCAAGCAGCCTCCCAAGGCAACCTTCTGCACCTGGCTCACAGCCAAGCATCCATGTCTCAAAGTCCCGTCCGGCAGGCTTCCTCTTCTTCCTCCTCATCCTCCTCTTCTTCAGCTTTGAGCGTGGGCCAGTTAGTCAGCAGTAAGTATCCTTTCTGGCTCAGTTTAAATCATGGTGGCCTTCTTGTTGCCTATTTGCAATGTCTTCCTCCTTGTCTCTCTCTCACTCTCTCTTTCTCTCTCAACCCTGCAGAGGAATTTCCTGGCACTGCTAGGTCAATATTGAGATGAAGTCCGTCCCCAGGACCAGATGGTTCCTTAGGGAAGCAGGCCCCTAAAGCACACTCCCTGGATTAGTGGCTATCAAGGACCGGGTTCCATCTTAAGTGGCTCCTGATGTGCTGAGTCAGTCCTGCCACTTCAGAAGGTAGCAACTGATCAGCTTTCAGGGCATGAGCCACATAGCTCACAACTGAAATAACCAACAACAGGCACTCAGCTGGCGGGTCAAGCTGCTTTTCTGTGTGTTTGAAGTCCCCTGCCGTTCTATTTGTAGGTGTCAGAGGAAATAAAAGAGAGCATGCCTGTGGGCGGGTAGGTGTGTGCGTACAATGAGCCGCCTCAAGTGGCATGTAGGGGAAGCTACATGGGCTGGAATCAGATGAGAAATCTCCAAACAACCATTCATGAAATAGAATAAGCCTGCAAGTCTGTCTCGCCAAACACCATTCTATAAACTATATATAGTTTTTAGATATATAGATAGCATATTTATCACGTGCAAATAACAGCATGTTAAGATGGATGGGACAATGGTCTGATTTAGTGTCAGTCACCTTTAATGCAGTTTTTACTTATATATAAAACTGCAGAACATGTGCAAAGATTGCAATTCACTAGTGACCAAAACTCCAGTAGCTATGGTGCCTCCATAGGCATCTATGCCTATAAAATGAGGACATGTGAGGATCTGTGTTTGGTTTAGTGTCATGAATGACCTGTTATAGCAGCAACAGTAGGATCCTCACATATCATGGGGCAAATCTTAACATAAAGCAAAATGGAGGGTTGCCATGACCTCCCTGACAAGCAATCCTTCATAAAAAAGAAAAATAATTTTATTTATACATATATACATATGTCTATATTCAATTATACTGATAATTCAGCTAAGAAAGATGCTTGTGGGTGGGGAATAAAATAGAATGAGGCATTATGGAAAGATGTCAAAATGCCCGGGAAGGCCAGGCACGGTGGCTCACGTCTGTAATTTCAGAACTTTGGGAGGACTAGCTGCGCGGATCACCTGAGGTCAGGAGTTCGAGACCAGCCTGAGCAATGTGATGAAACCCCATCTCTACTAAAAATACAAAAATTAGCCAGGCATGGTGGCATGTGCCTGTAATCCCAGCTACCTGGGAGGCTGAGACAGAAGAATCACTTGAACCCGGGAGGCAGAGGTTGCAGTGAGCTGAGATTGCACCATTGCAACTCCAGCCTGGGCAACAAGAGTGAAACTCTGTCTCAAAAAAAAAAAAAAAAAAAAAAGTTCCCAGGTACCTCACCGGACTAGCCTGGATGCTCTTGATCTTAAAGATGGGTCAACACCAGAGTTTCAGAATACATATACATTTTCCATCAACTGTATTTTAGGTTGTTTCAATATACAACCCTCTCCAGAAACCCTAGTCTGACTTGCATAAAGTTAAGGATAAAGTGAATTTAATTATAGCCAGATTTTCCCCAATTAAAAAATTCTTCCTAGGGTTGTTTTGGGAAAAAGAGTCAAACTTTGTTGCAATTGAATATTTTGTATAAGTTTCTGCAAAATACTCCATTTCTAAATGGCAGCAATGTCACAAATTTAGGATAGGCTGTTAAGCTTTGGTCCTGAAAGAAAAGGAACCAAAGTTAAGCATCTTACAGAGAAGAAATAAGTTAAATATGAAAAAGAAGTACAAACAACCTCCTACTAACAGTGTTTCACACAAGGTAAAGAGTTAACATGTGTAAGACGGATAGAAAGATGATTGAAGGGATTGGCAGACAGCAGACAGTCAGATGGATGGAACTGGGTTCTCTCCAGTCACTTGTCACAGCTGGGCAGTGAAGGATTAGTCTTTTTCAGAAATCAATAACAAAGATACTTTAATGGGCCAGATGGAATTTCCATTGCACAGTAGCCAGTGGGACATATAAGTTCTAGGTTTATGATGAATGAACTATATTATATATCCTTGGTCTAAAATATAAAGACTTGGGAAAGAGACACTCTTTTACCACATGCAATTGAAGCAGGAAACTTCAAACCCATATGCAGAGCCTGAAGGACACCATGCTAGCTCCATACTAGCTCTGGCAGACCAACAGAGTCTAACAATACGACCAGGAATTGCACTTTGCCCTAACCATTGCTGGACTTAAGAGTTGTTACAAATTTTAAGCATGTTGTTTACTTAATTCCCTTCTGTCTCAAACCCAACTAAAGAATGAATAGAATATGGATCATATCCCTCTGGTTCCATGATTTGCTATGATGGCTCACAGAACTCGGGGAAATACATTTACTGGTTTACTATAAAGGATATGATAAAGAATACAGATGAACAGCTAGATGAAGAGGTACACAGGGCGAGGTCTAGAAGGATTCCAAATTCAGGAATTTCTGTCCCCATAGAGTTGGAAGGTACCACTCTCTCGGAATGTGGATATGTTCACCAACTTGGAAGCTCTTCGAATTCCACACCTTAGTGATTTTTGTGGCAGCTGCATCATGTAGACATGATTGATTATTAAACTCCAGCCCTCTTCTATCCCTAAAGAATCAATGTGGGGCTAAAAGCTTCAAGCTTCTAATCATGGCTTTGTCTTTCTGATGACCAACCAGTATCATAAAGCTAACCAGGAGCCCCTAAGAGTTATCCCATTTCAACAAAAGATGCTCCTACCATCCAGGACATTCCAAAGGATTTAGGAACTCTGTGTCAGGAACTGAGGTCAAAAACTAAATATTATAACAAAAGATGCTCCTAGCACCCCTATTTGTTAGGAAATTACCAGAGTTTTAGGAGCCCTGTGCCAGGAACCAAGGAAGAAGACCAAGGAGATATATATATATATATATAT